CAGTGATGGAGAATAAACCGTGGTGTAGTGGCCAGATGCTCGCCTGTGGTTCAGAAAGAAATGGGTTCAAATCCAAACGGTGCTGGAATTTCTTTCTTTAAAAAATTACCTTGGCTTCCTGGTCGACCCAGTCTTAAATGGGTACAAAGTCATGGGAAGTAAAGGCAGCTTGTATAATGTTAAATAAATCCCATACGAAGTGCCGATTGGTCTACAAAATACACGTCTAGTCCTATAAGCCCATGCGCCTAAAAACGTGGAAAAAGGGTCCTTCAGTTTGTACTAAAAAAAAAAAATTATGGTGATGGTCTGAAACAACGAAACAAGGCCTTTTTTTCCTGACGTACAGGTACTTTTTTAAGGCATAATTTTTTTTCCACAGCTACTGTACCAGACACATTGCAGTGAATACCGGCACATTTTTTGACACTTTATGTTGAGTACCGGTACCGTATTTCCGGGGGGGGGGGGGGTGCTCGGGGGAGGGGGAGGGGAGAGAATTTCCCGTAGCGAATCATGACCAAATTAACACCGCAAAAACAAAAATTCTAGACCTTACCAACAGTTCAGTTGATATCACGCTGAACAACAACAGCCTTGAAAAAATCAACAGTTTCAATTATCTAGGGAGGAAGATGTCATCTACGGGAGATACCGCACCAGAAATACCATTTAGAATAGCACTGGCATCTAGTGCTTCAATAAACTGTCCAACATCTGGAAATCAAAGACACTTAGCAAACACACAAAACTCAAGATCTTTAATTCTTGTATGATTCCAGTACTAACCTATGGATGCGAGAGCTGGAAATCAACGAAAACTCTAGACACAAAATTAGACAGTTTTGAAAATAAATGCCTTAGAAGAATACTAAATTTCAAATGGTCAGATTTCCGAACCAATACACAAATAAGGCAAGAATCCAGGCAAGAGTATGTGTCTAATTTTATACGAAAACGCCGCTGGAACTATGTCGGCCACGCCCTTAGAATGGATAAATCAAGACTTCCTTACCAAGCCCTCATTTGGACACCACAGGGGAAAAGATCTCGTGGAAGACCAAGGAAAACCCTACGTAGAACTATTATCAGGGAAGGCTCGCTCATGGGCCACTCAAACATCCAAGACCTACAACAGATTGCAACGAACCGCCATGCATGGAGAGTCATGACCTCTGCCCTATGTGCCGCACTCGACACAAGAGGAAATACTAACTAACTAATCATGACCATGAATCTTATCGACAGGATTATAACCGATTGATCCATCATAGGGTTGCCCACTCTGGGCTGCTTCCTTAAAACTTACCGCACTGAGATTTAAATTTAATAAAAGTCTTAGTCTGGATGGTGGAACAACGGACAGATCCCAGACACCCAGTTCAATCTCCACAGAAGTTATAATTAGGACACCCATAACGACCGTTGCTACCAGGTGTCACCTGCAGTCTTGTGCGGGTAAGGGTGATGATGATGGTGATGAAAAACCATAACCTCACTAAGGCGATTACTATGACACCAGGGAGAAGCGTGATCATCTCTTCTTCGCATTCACCGGCTACAAACTTCAGCGGAAAGTTCTGGGTGTTCATCCAACTCCGGGCTTTAGTTTTGTTCACTAACTTAAGTGTTGCGTGCACGTCAGTTTCACAGATCTAGCTTATCTGTATTATGCGGACTGTTGGTTTCTTGACTATGAGGCAGACGTACTCCGACTTCAAAGGATGCCCACACTTGGTCGACTCCTTCGAGATGCTTACTAGGTGAGGCAGTGGGTCGATTCTTGTTTCCCACCTGAGGGGGTCTCCGAACTCACACGGCAAATGTCATAATCTGATGCCCCGCCCCTCTAATAGTAAATTTAGAACCGGGATACAACAAGACACAGACATAACAAACACAAAACAGCCACCAGGAGACATCGATTGAGCTTGAACACATACCGACGTATCACATACCAGCGAGTCTTTGTTCACCGACTGTACGTACACCTTTCTGCATTGCATTGCTAATTAGCATATCTTGTCAGTTGTACATGAAAAGAGATATGTTAATTAGCTTAGTTGTTTCTAAAGCCACACAGAGAGAGAAGAAAGAAAGAAAGCACTCAATACAAATGTGTCCACACTGTCTTGGAATGCAAAGTTTGTTTTCTTATTTCTGACTGTGGATTTGTATAGTAGTTTCTTCAATTTGAGGATGTCTTGTACGTACCAAGGGACGATTTTTGATAAACGCGGGTGCTATGTGAGTATACGTGCTACCGCAGTTGCTGCTCCTGTTAGTATTGCTGCTGCTATTACCTCTGCTACTGCTACTACTACTACTACAACTAATACTTCTACTACTACCACTACTACTACTACTACTACTACTACTACTACTACTACTACTACTACTACTACTACTGCTGCTGCTGCTGCTGCTGTTGCTACTACTGCCACTACTACCACAACCACCACTTATGATGTTATTACTTCAAATGCTGATGCTACTGCTGCTGCAACGGTTACTGCTGCTGTTACTACTTTTACTAATAATAATAATAATAATAATAATTTTGCTGTCATTTTAGATACTATTGCAACTGCTACTAATACTCGGATATTGTTTTCCATGAATAAGAAGTGCCTATACTCACACACACACACACAAAACGTTGTAACTCACCACAAAGTGTCTGCTACAGTAAGATGAGGCTTTAAAAAGGGGCCAGTACTGCATACACTAAGAAAAGACAGCCCTTCTTTTACTATTTCTAATACTACTTCTCAGTGCTTTTCTCTACAAAAAAAAAAAAAAAAGGTGTCGTTATTCATCACAAAGTGTCTACAAAAGGTGCCGGTACTCACTATACAATGTCTTTTACCCTTGCGCTGTCAAAATAATACTTTAAAGGAAGGTGCTGGTACTCACTATACAATGTCTTTACCCAGCAGTTGTTGGGAGCCCTAATATAACCTAACGGTTGAATGAGGTTTCTGTGACTTTTGGTTCTCATCCGAATGATGGCAATTTGTGTTACCGAGTATTTGTAGCTCGTTGTGCGGTCCTGGTGGAGTTGAACGTAACGCACCTTAGCATTCCGTCCCAATATGGGGCGCATTTTCTGTGGGACGTAGGCTGAAGCCGTGGGGATGGGGGGGGGGGGGGGGTTGTGGTTACGTCCAGTTCTACGTGCTTTAGGGCCGTTAAAAGCGCTCACATCGTGAAATATAGAACACGTGATATCGCCGGCAGCTGACAACAAAGAGTAAAATACGACGTGTTACTGGCTGCTCACTAAGCGTGACACCCTCGCAAGATAGGACAGGCCCTGCGACTCGACGAGGCGTCAACTGGGGAGGAAAGTCACTCTATTTCAGGGGCGAAAACATTGCTATAATCGATCTTAGTTGTATATACATGTATCTACGTGTAGATTATGGTTATATATCTACTTGAGTTCACTTTTAACTCTTGGCACTAGATCACTGATGATGATTACATTTCCTCGAGTTCAGTTGAAACTCTTGGCACTGAATCACTATTGATGGTTGCATCTACGTAAATTCAGTTAAAACTCAATTGAATGGAGCAAATTAATGAGCTATCTGGAATGGGTGGAGTTCAGTACAATATACTCATTCCTTACCTACGTCCTTTTCAGGACGTAATTTTTTCTTATTTGAAGCCCCACTCTGACTTTTGCCAGGGACCGCAATATAGGCAGGCCATCAATATGGCCAATTGTCTGAACGCGGTTTCTGGGACCGCTCCACAGTGATCCGCATGGTGGCACTTTGTGTCATCGGGTGTTTATCGCTTGTGTGATGTCCTAGTGGGGTAGAAAGTCAGTCAGTACAATCTATATACTGAACGGCTAACAAACACATACTGCGTTAAGTGACACTGCCCTAAAGCCTAATAACGGGTTACAAAACAAAAGTGTCGACTCCACAATAAAAGTTAGCTGTAATAGATCTCCAACACACCGTCTTTCGCCCTTGGTTGTGGCCGAAATCGTGTCCCCCCCCCCCCCCCCCCCCCCCCACCTCCCCCCCCCCCCCCCCACCCCCCCCACCCCCCACCCCCCCCCCCCCCCCCCCCCACCTTGCCCATCATGCAGTGTTTCAAACTGCGCCAGTATTCACCACAAAGTGTCTTTCACAATAGCGACGAAAAAAGGATGCTTTAAAAAATGTCTGTACTGTGTACCGTTACCAAAAAACCTGACGAAATACTTCACTGTCTGACACTATGTGACGTCCCAGTTGTGATCCATGAAGGTTGAACATGATATTGACAAATAAAGGACCCTTTTCCACGAGTAATGAGTATATAAGAACACGAGAGAAGACTAACCACCTGTGAAATGAGATGTTTGAGAATGGCTGCGAATAAAACCAGAAGAGATCGAGTGAGAAACGATGTGATTACAAGAACTATTGGAACCATACCCATCGTTAAATTTATTGAGAAGCAAAGAATGAAATGGTTTGGTCACCTAATGACAATGGAACCAACGATGCCAGCATCAAGAGCATACAACATGAAAATCGAAACACCAAGAGGCAGGGGAAGACCAAGAAGAAGATGGATTGAAGGAGTCACGGACAACTTGAGACTTCATAACATCACGGCATATGAAGCGACTGAGCGCGCCCTGGCTCGGTTGCCGATCATCTGATAGACTGCGACGCCTAGCGGCACAAGCAGATTTTGACAAAAGAAGAAGAAGAATGAGTATATACTAGTGCAAGAGCTGTATTTATTTGCGAAAATTACTATTATATTTATCACCCTCAACATTATCTAAACAGTTGTAGATGTTCCTATAGGGTTTTAACAACAACTCTTATTAACGGTATGTATATTTTCAGGTTATACTTCCCGCCTCTCCGTTCTGGAGACTTGACGCTAACGATAACACCGCGGACGTGGACGAAGAAGTCGAGGTGCTAGAAGGCCCGGAGGTGGAGATCAGAGATTCATGCGACAGGGATGAAGAAGCAGCCGACATGGGAGAAGGAGACCTCGAGCTAGACAGATCTGACCACGAAAGTCAGGATAGTGATAGCAAACACAGCTATCAGCACGAGAAAGATAGTTTTTCCAAGAAAAAGACTCCTACAGAACCGGATAATAAGTATTATGAAGTTGAAGCGATTTTGGATGGACCGAAAAAGCGAAGGGAACATCTAGTAAGTGCCGGTGTTAGATCACCACACGTTGTTGTCCGTTGTGTTATGGTTCGGTGTCTGGATCCGACTCGAGCCGTTGGATTTTGTAAATGTATTTTTGTGATTTAATACCTTGCAGTTTGTTAAGTTTCATATGTTTAATGTAAACTTTACATAGTATTTATGTATGTGTTTTTCGTGAATGTTTTTGTGCAGCTGAATTTGTGAGTGATTCAAAACGTTGTTTTCCAACGGACTCAACGACAACTGCAGGCTGTAACAAAATAATGATAGTAAAAACTAAAATACTAAATAGAATAACAGATAACGAATCAAAAAGTAAAGAAATTGGTAAATCTTAAATAAAACTTAAATTGGGAGTAGTGAATAGGAGTGTAGGGTAGCAGGATGTAGCGACTGCATTATATGCTACTCGCCAACGTTTAGTCAAGAGCCACTTAGAAAAACCTTGGTTAAAGCCATAAAAATAAAACAAATAGGCTATCCTCCGAATATCGGGCACATATTATGGCGGCTCAAAACACACCCTGACAGGGCCTCAATCACATGTAAATTGCGAACTTCCTGTGACTTTAATTGCAGACTTAGCTGGGACTCACGAGCAGCAGCTACAGCATCTCCTGCAGCTTCCTTCATTTTATTTGCTTGTGAGACCCCACCATCAGTTTAGCCCCACTCAACGCCATGCGTAGCGGCGTGGGATATACTCTCGGCGGTGGCAGAAGTCCGCAATGTACACGTGACTAAGGCCCTGCTAGGTTATATTTTTGGCTGCCATAATGTGTGCCCGTTATTCGGAGGATAGCCAACAAATATGATATGTAACTTAAGTCTAAGGAATGTTAATAAAATACTGTAAAAATGCCATTAATTGAATACCATATTTGTCACATAAATTGTTATATTTAATTATAATGTACTTTAGTAAGGAATGGAAACACATACAAACATAAAAAAGTTTTAAAAAGTACCACTCACCTTTTCAAAAGTCACACAGTAGAATATGGGATGACTAGACATCCTAAAAGCGACCAGACAAAGTTTGCAACAAGGCATTCGAGACATAATAGACACCACATGAATCCAGAGAGTATCCTGAGGAAAAGCTTGCCATTACTAAAGCAGAAATGCAGTCAGTTGTGCAAAATTAATCGGCATGTTGACAGTCTTCAAGCAGGGACATCCCAGAGGTGTTTAGTCAAAAAAAAAGGCCAAGTGAATCTACTGGGCTTCATCTTCATCTTCAAATTAAAATCTTGCCATCATTGAATGACACAGTAGAGCAAGATTCATCAGCGAAGAGGACTTGACTGCATTGTTGCCTTGTCCATTGCATGTGCTTGTCACACAACGTAACACAGACTGTGTGATAAGCAGGAGTTAAGAGTGATTTTGACTGCAGGCCAGTGATCAGCCACTCCAGATTCATGTAAACTTTTGCAAATGGTGCTTTGACAAGAACGCTTACAGTTTGTCTCAGCTGACATCTTAGAGTGGTACATGTATCTGTTCGATTGCGTATAGCTGACAACAGGAAGTACGGGTCATCAATTCTATTGGTGCTTCTAGAGCGACCTGAACAGTGGTGATCCTCCACACTTTCTGTTGCCTGAAATCTATCTAAAATTCTTTGGATAGTAGTGTGTGACACTGCAAGCCGTCTTACAGCTTCACAGATAGATAAACCACTTTCAATCCAAGCTATAGCCCTCATTCTTTGTAAGGTGTCAAGATTTTTTCAATGGCATGGTTTTTGCAGGTGATGAAACAACCTTATGTCTGCTAATTGTTAAACAAATTAAGAGTGAACTCTGTTCATGAACAGTCACCATTGCCCTTGGAATGTCAGTCAGCATAATTACTTTTACCTATTTGGTTGTATGGAAGTTTGGAGAAAAACAGATTCAGAATTTCAGTGACTTATTGAGGACTGTCATGGAAAGATATTGCACCAAATTTTACTAAAAACTTTCTCCATTTAATCATTCTATTCACTTTGTAAAGTGTATTGACAATAATTGGGTGGCCCTTGAATTTTGACGAGTAGTATAAAACAGAAAGGTTTTTTTTTAAAGTCAATACAAACTACTGTTTTTGTGTGTGTGGTAGTATTATTATCTTAAGGATGAAAATCAAACAGTTGCAAATCCTTGAAACCCCCTTCAACCATCTAGTCATATAAGAAAAGTTAGTTGGGTATCCTTTACAGGATGTTGCAGAACCAGCCCAAGCATTTTTTGGGGCTGTTGTGGTTCTCAGGCAAATTTTAGGTTCAGTAGTTTGCCATTGCTTACTGAGTGTTTAGTTCTTGATACCAATTTTGAAACCAATCAAGGCAGTCTGCTGCCAAACCGCTTGAAGGTTGGATTGAACCAGGCATGTCTGCTGCCAAACCGCTTGCAGGTTGGATTGAACCAGGCATGTCTGCTGCCAAACCGCTTGCAGGTTGGATTGAATCAGGCATGTCTGCTGCCAAACCGCTTGCAGGTTGGATTGAACCAGGCATGTCTGCTGCCAAACCGCTTGCAGGTTGGATTGAACCAGGCATGTCTGCTGCCAAACTGCTTGAAGATTGGATTGAACCAGGCATGTCTGCTGCCAAACCGCTTGCAGTGTCTAAGCGACGGGATGCTCACCTAGCCATATAGCACAGCTATATTGGGGCACCACAAAACAGAGTAACATGTAGTCTGGTGTGGGTGGGTAGAGCAGACTACTGTTGAACTGGTACCCTTGTAATAGTGGCACTGTCTGCTAGAAATGGCTACACTGCTTTCGTGAGAATGCACCAAGTGTTGTGATCTTAGCTTCTTATTCTTGTGACGAAGCAAGATAAATTAAATTCTCAAAATTAACAGCAAGATTGAGGCAACAAGAAAAATCACATTATGACATCAAAACTGCTGGACATTTCAGAGCCTTCATAATTTGCAGTGCTCAGGGAATGATGATTTAAATATTATGGTAGCATTAAAGATGTATGTTTTATTTTACATACATCTGTATATAAAACAGATGTATGTTTAAATAGGACATTCCCCCAGCAAGTTGATAATTGCCTTGGCACCCTGTTAACAGCAGATAGAAGATTAAAGAGGTAAAATATAGAATAGCTCAAGAAATGCATTTCACAAACGAAGAATATTTTGTGCAGTCTTTTTTTTTCAAGGTAAGAAAGAGAATTCTTAAGAGGTATATAAATTCTATCCTGATGTTTGGAAGTGAATTTTGAACAGTTGGCCAATTAGTTTAAAAAAAAAAAACATTATATAGAAGCAGCAGGAATATGCCTTTATAAACAAATGATAACACTCTGGACATATAAAATGAGTTATGATAATGTCTTGAAATTTGGACTGACAAAGAGAACTGATTTTATATTAGCTTACTTGACTGCCATCCTCATTGTCATGTGTTAATATCCAAGCTGGGGCAGTTTTTTTTTTAAAAACCCTGGTTCTGAGGTTGACCGAGCCTAAAAATGAATATGAGGAATATCCTGGGAAGAAAAGATGACTGATGTCATATTGATTATATTGAGTGCTGATTGCCTTATAAAAATATGAGGCTAGCATAATACACCTGATACATCTCTATGTGTAACCCATGTGGGTCCTGGGTCCCATTTTGGGAAAAACAAAAATAGATCCAGTGCCTGCCCAAAAGCATGTCTAAGAGTTGACTAAATAAGAGCTTCCTTCAAAGTCAGAGTACATCTGCCTGAGAGGCAAAAAACAAACAATCTGCATGCAAATGAGCAAGACCTGTGACCTAATTGTGGTAGACTTCTTAACCTAAATGGATCTTGTCAGTTACACTCACAGGTTCTTGCTAGTCACACTCACAAACCGCCATGGGTTGTGATTCCCATACCTCCTTATAACAAAATATAGTACTGTTGTCTGGAAAGGTGTAGACAACAGGCACAAGTATTTTATTAGTAAACTGGCCATCCCACCTTCTACTGTGTCGCCTAAAGTATGAAAGCTTTATATAATTTTGTAAAACTGACGTAAGCTCCCAGGTTGACCCAGTCTAAGATGTTGGCCAAATCACCCACCAAGCACAGATCTGCATATACATATATAGATTTAGCACAGTATTGTTGATGTACTGTTTATTTGAACTTTACTTTCTTCAAGGGGCTACATGTTATGTTTATTTCCATATTGTCTTTGCAGTTTAAAGTTTGCTATAAAGTCAGATGGAAGGGATATGGTCCGGAATCCGACACATGGCAACCCATTGCGGATTTGGTCAATGTTCAAGACATGATTGATGATTATAAAAAGGAAAAGGATAATCAAAGGCATGACAAGTTCAAAAAGGCAAGTATAATTTAGCGTTACCAGGGTCCATGAGTGAAGCAAATAATGTGCCACTGTAATTTACCATCCATATTGTAAGAGTTCACTAAGGAATGTTGGCATGTGCCTGAATAACCTACCCAATAGAGACCTTTAGCTTCCAAATTTAACTGATCACATATGCATAAATTCCATAGCAGTGACAAAGAAGCGTTTAAAAAAAATACCAGTATCATTATAAAAAGAACCAGACTCAGAATAAAAAAAAATACGGCATGAATTGGTTAAGTCTACGCTCCATTGGAAGATGAATCATATAGGAGTATAGATGGCAGTTTTGTTGGTTTTTTTAATTTATATATTTCCCAAAAAGAGCTTCATCATAAAAGGAGTCTTGGCAACAGAAACAAGATAACACTAGAATTAGTGACGTGAGAGAACTATGGGAAAGACCACTATTGTTTACTCTCCTTTCATAGAACACCTGTGAGAATCTAAGCACAGTGCATCAGTTCTTTTGCATGAACAAAGACCCAAAGATATTGTATACCAGACATGCTATTGTTATTTATTTGTTAGTGTTTTTGAATTGTGGGTAATTATAAATATATATGTGGTTATTGACCTCCTAGTCTTTTATATTCTTCTTTGTCTCCCTGTGTGTTCCTGAGCCCTGTTTTGGAGCAAACAAAGAATAAGCCCACTGCCTACTAACAAGCATATTGTGAGGAGTTTCCTTCAAAGTCGGATTGCATCTGCCAGATCCATAGAATTGGATATCTTCACAAAACTTAAATTCTGGAAAAAGACCACTCCAGAAGTTAATGAAAACTAGACCTTTCTGTCCGAGTTTACAGCCAGTGAATGCTAAGCATCCCATATTATTATGTTTTGGCTATATTTTTAAATTTTGGTTCTTTGTAAATATGTATGTGGTTTCTTACTTATGTCAGCATTTGTGGCTTAGGCGTTGTGAACATGCTTTGTAATGCCGGGGTTCAGTTCAAGCTGCAGGCGATTTACTTGCATTTTTCTCTAGTGATATCTAGAGCCGATCATTCATAAAGCAGTGGCAGACTACTGAATGTAAATTAGCCTTGAAAAATTGAAACAAGCTAGAGTCCTATAAGTAAGTCTTTTATATTCTTCTGTAGATGCCAGATTTAAAGCAGGCATTGATGATCATGACACCCACACTCAAACTAATTCATGTTCTTCTTCTTGTGATTGCATCCCTGATGTTTACACCAACATAAGTTATCTGTTCACTTCTTCTGATGTGTCCCATTAATGTCATTTTTTTCTTTTCAGTTTAGCGAACTTATGACAAATGCTGTTGATGCGTCACTGTTTGGTGTCTTTTCTTGTAGTGTTCTCAACATTCTTCTTTGAGGTTTTTATATTAGCTGTCTTTTTCTTTCTCCGAAACGTTTTCCCATAATGAATTAAAATAATGAGGCCATAAATAATACATTGCACAATTTATTGCCAGTTATATTTCGTTACATTTCATCGTTACTTGAGAGTTACGTCAACATATAATGAAAGATAACAAATGAGTAAACTCCACTGAAAAGCAAAATTTATTATGTCCACATTATTTAAATTTCATTTATCAATACTTTCAGAAACCATTGAAAATGCATCTTCAGACTGGCACAGATTCTATGGTGAACAAGCGTTCAAGGATTTCATCATCATCATCATCACCTGAAGGACACAATGCTGGTAGAAAGCATTTTGACCCTGTCTATGGAACTGTAAAAGACAAGTTCTGGAAAGATCTAGAACTAGGACATCAGAACCATTCTCCTCAGTTTAATGGAGACATGTACTCTAATGTGAAAGGTTGTCGGCGGGCCGCTCATACAGAAGCTTTGGCAAGTATTCACAAGCAGCGTCGGCGAGAAAGCAAATCTCTTCATACTTCCAGATCACCGTTGCGTGTTTTACGTGGTGATCACTTTAGTAAATCCAGATCATCCTCTCCAGTGTCTTCCAAACATGGAAAATCGTCACGGAGGTCAGAATCACCCAAGATGTCTCGCGTCGGCAGACCACGGAAGAGATCCACTGATCCTCTATTTGCTTCAGAATCCACATCTGCAAAGCGGAGTAGACGGTCAAGGGAAGCCAACAGTGGGAATATATTTTTCGAATGCAAGCAGCCGAGTGTTATCAGTTCAGTTACTTCGGAAACGGTGGCGATTGTTACTACATCAACTCCGCTAACTCCTCCAGTTGTGTCCAATACTAGTGCAGCACCTTTACTGTCTGCATCAAGTGTGGTCAGTTTGGATGGACCAGTGTCCAGTTCTGTGGTCACTGCGTGGTCCAGATCAAGTAGTCCAGGTAAACTCCGGTGAAATATTCATTTTAACATATATGTTCAATAGGTGTGAGCCTTGGTATGTGCTATGTATTTACGGCCCCAGATATTCCATCTATCCGTGGTCTACCCCTGGCGCTGCTTCCATTATGTCTGACAGGACTCTGTGTGGTGCACTGTTTTGCTGGTAGTCTGATACATGTCCGAGCCATTTGATCTGCTGTATCTTGATGTAGTTTAACCGTAGTTCTGTCTCAGCTTCCTGCTTGATTTGGTCATTTATGGTTCATTGTGGGCATTTGTTGTTTGTGTTTTTTCTCCAGCTTATGTGAACACACCAAAATGAAGCCTTTGCATTTAGAGGACAGTATGCTGGCATCCTGTCTTAGCAGCTTGAGTTCACATCCAAGTTCGAGAAGAGCTTAGGTTTTTAATTCATTTAGTTTGAAAAAAGTAAAGGGCACTTTTTATACCAGTGGTGCATCGGGCATATGATGCACAACTAATTTTTAAAAACCAATTGGCACTTGTGGGTGATGTGGTCCTCATGCTGGCCACCTTTACTTCCCAGGACTTGACCTGGTGTCAGTTTTAGGCTAGGTGGACCTGGGAGCTAAGATCCGTTTAAAAAAAAAACATCAGCCCATGCAGATTTGAACTCAAGACCTCCGGAGCAGCAAGTGAGCATCTAGCCACTGTGCTACAGGGGCTTTTTTTTTGTTCAGTTAGTACCCAGTTTTTGTCTAACTGGACACTTTTCAAAACCATTCTGTCTGTCTTACTCCCACTACACCAGTCTGCTTCGTTTTCTTACTCTACATCTCGTCTCCCTCGCTCAGTTAAATACTTCATAAACTCCCCCCTTTGCGTTACAACTCAGTCTCACCCACACCTCATCAGGTGTTTTCTCTCTCGGCAAAGGTACTTAACCTCACATAATACAGAACAGTATGCCTCTTCTACTCAGTCAAAATCTTTTGACAGATAGAAATATTGAAGAGGAGCTCCATGCAGCATTTTAGCATGAAATAAATATGAACAACAGAATAGCTAGTGTCTACGAGGTTGAAGGTCCTACCCCAAACATCTCCTCTCTCCGCTGTCTTCTTGATCTGCTTATGGTCTTGTCCCATTCATTTCTTTTATGTGCACATTTTTTTTTCTCTGTTATCTACCGTTCTCACTAAATTCCCCGACCATTGCAGTCCTGACACCCTCTTGTTGCCAGTAATTAGTGATAAGTTACAGATATTTTTAATTTAGTTGTTGCTTCTCACTCACCATTCTCCCTGCTTGCAGTTCTGATGAGTCAAAAGATTTGTCATAAGACTTTAGCTTATGACCATTACACTGAAAGGGAAGTGTCCTAGCCATTGCACTCATGTGGTTCCCAAAACTAGTGTTGAAAGATAGCTAGTAACATATAACTTGGTCATGTGCATAAGTGCAGATACAGTCCCTCCATAAACAACTGTATATTAATTAATCCTGTGTTCAGATAGTAAATCATTTTAAAGTGTTACTCTTAGTGTGGCCTGCCAGAAAGATCAGTTTTTACTACTTCTTCCCATGTGGGTTCCAGAGCCCCAGTTTGATTATCATCCTTTTGTGTCCTTATCACAGCGCTCACAGGATATCCATCCCTTTATATCTTGTGCAGCCGGTTTTATATCATGGATGGGGTCCAGTCCAGCAACTTATTTCATCATCGTTTGTCTTAGTGTTTATCCTTGGACTTTTTCTTTCCCAATCTGTTTGCTTCTCATTTCACTGCCTGACTGTCTGCTCATTTCTCCTCTAGATGTGTCAAGTATATTGCCACTTTGAAAGAAGAATGGTGGCAGTGTAGATCTATTGCTCCTTCACAAACATGCTGTAAAAGTTGATTGATGACAGTTTTGTTATTAGATACGTTGGCTAAATTGGTACAGATGTTAACCTACCTGTAAATTATGACACAAAATAGCTAACTGCTATTTTAAGTGCAACGCAGGAAAAAAGTAAATGACTTGAACATGCATATAATTGTTGTTTATATTATGGGAATGCGTATGATTTTATTTATGTATGGAAGTGCTTGCTTACTTCACAGTTGGAGATGCTGAAGGAACGTCGGAGTCAGACAATAGTGCCGATGAATATGATTGCAATCAGAAGCGAAGCGGCGGCATGACTGTGTCATCTGAAACTGTGCTGACCGTCACGACAGAGAGCAAGCGTTTGGGTGACTCCCGTTTTTTTTATGAAGACATAAAGAGAGCGAAGTCACATACAAAAGCCTTCAGTCAGTTTGAAGATGTGACACAGAGCACGACTGGTGGGTCTTCAAGAGAGGCTTTATATATTGTTTTTTTATTTGTGCGAGTACATTTTAGTATCAGATGTATTAAATTGATTTAGACATAGAGGGAACAAGGCAGGGTGAGATAGGGATCATGTGGCATGGGCAACACATGGTCTCTACAGCACTGCTCAGCTTTATGCTGTGGAGTGGAGGTACTTCATCCCTGGCCTTGAAACGCGAGCAGGTCTTGCTACTGACACTCACCATCGCCAGGGGCTGATGGTCCCGTGGCTCCCTATAGCACATACTATCATCCGGAGAGATACCAAAAGTATTAAGTATTTTATAGCATTCACAGGCTGTAAACTTCTGAAAGTCCTGGTTGTTCACAAACTTCTGGATTTGTTTCCCCTGCTATCTCCCCAAAATCGAGACATTTTAACCCAGACTGTATGGTGTAAGTAGATTATATAAATATCCCATTTCCATACTTTAAGACCTCATGATAGGTCCCATTTCTGTTTACTTTTGAGCATAAGGTGCCAACTCCAGGGGAAGTTGGCAGTTGATTACTGGAGATGTAGAAGTGAAATTTTAATGGAGAATTTATTAAATGAATGTAAACTTTACTAGTGACTTGTTCCAGGGGAAGTTGTGGAGTAGAACCATTAAATATTAAAAAAAAAGGAAAGTCAAAAACATTTAAAAACAAATGCTTGAGGAGAATGATGAACACAAAACAGGATGAATTCAAGAGGAGCAAATAAATAAGAGAAATGTCTGGGCAGCCACTAGTGTAGGTGGTTTTAAGGCAGAAAAGATAGTGCTGTATTGGACACATTCTGAAAAGCAGCGAACGGAGAATCAACAAACAGGCAGTGAAATGGGAAAATGAAAAAAAAGAAACTCTAAGGCGAACATTGGTGAGAGGAACCACAGATTCTGGACTGGATTACATCCATGATATTGAAGTGGTTGCACAGGATAGAACGGAATGGAGAAATAGACTGCGAGCCCGATGTGACACACAGATGCACAACAGCACACTGAAGGAATGCTGGAAAGATGCATCAGAATCCAATACTTTTCATTTGTTAATCTGCTCAATTTCTTCTTGCTTTCTGATGTGTTGTATAACTAAGTTGATCATAATTTCTTTCAGGCTGTTCTAAACGCTGTCATTTTATATTTTCTGTGGTCTTCCTCTTCATCTGATCCTTATATTTCTTCAGCATGGCCTTCTGTAGCAGTTGGTACCAGGACATTCTCATCAGAATATTAACCCATCTCAGTTGTTGCTCTTTCTTTAGTGGTTTGATAGTTTCTAGTCATTCTGATTTCTTAATTTTTAACTTTGATGTTTCCTGTTTTTGTGGCCTGGAAAGAAATAAAACTGAACGAAAAGTAGATTAGCAAGCCTTACAATGTAACAAACACAAAGAGTGAACGTTGCAGCTACAGAGCCTTTATCAGCACATTCATAAATCAAACAAAGCCATGCCGATATACAAAATCACTGAACTGAGTATCCTGAAGCAGCCACGTTGATGTCTAGCCAGTGGAGCGAAGGGACACATGTGACCCAATGCTAAATAGCCCGGGAATGCCAAGAACCGTAACTTGAGAATTTTAGATGAAACTGTGTTGACAATTCAGTCCTCTTTGTTACTGTGGCAGCTTTTCTAAGACTTCTTGACTCAGTAAAAATTTTGCAGTCATCAATTTGTTTAACAGTCCGTGCTTGACACTATTAGCAAAAAAGTTGGCCAATGATAGTTCTTATTAAAGTTACTTGGTAGACAAAGGTATCCTTCTGGGGGTCTCCTTATCGAAGTTGTTAAGCTGTTTACCTAGCGCTCTGAAGGTTGTTTGTTTCAAAGCTTCTTTTTTGGTTAACCTACTCTCGTTAGGTGGCTAGTCTGGAGAGAGATCGAGTCATATGGGGTTTAAATCATTGAACTGTGTTGTATCCTCTCAACTTTAACCTTTGAAATTTAGTTTGTTAGCAGTAAATATCCAGTGATACTCTGATGTGTGACTGTATTTGTGTGTGTAAGTATTGGTAGTTCTGTAACAGACACTAGCATGTGGACTTTACATGTTCAAGGCTGTAGCGTGACTGATAGTGTAGCCAGTTCCCTTCCACATCTCCTTTCCTGTCAAACATTACCAAGATCTGTCATTGGAGAGACATATATTCGCATCTTCTGTCATGTAATAGAACGACATAGTTAAGGGCAAACATTTCAATCCATACCTCCAGTTTGTGGTGGCTGCACTATCCACGAGGCCCTGAATCTTCACACTGAAGACATCTTTGCTCTACACCACCATGGATATGGTAAAATAACAACAGTTAAGTGTAAAACTATGTTAGTGTATTGTGGCCCATACTAAATGTGGGTCTTGTGGTTCATTTAACAGATGGAGCTGATTCAACATGTTTATCCATGGTGAATGTTGGTGCCAGTAGCTGTGATGCAATAGCAGGAGCATCATTTGATACTTGTGGTGGTGCATCTCAGGGATCACTGCCTGATGACTCACAGATACACAAAGCTCTCTCCCATATGCGGTCAGCATTAGATACCCAGTCAGAGGCCAGTGGAGCTGTGGAGCGCTCTTATGATGCAGAATGTTTATGGAATGGAGCCTGCAATAGGTCGGATTGTAAATCTAATCGCAGAAGGAATATGAAAAACGGCCAAAGAAAGCTTGGTGGTGTGATACCTACTGATGGGAGTGATAGTGATGGTGAACCTAACGTTGGGAATGAGAATACAGCAATGGAAGATGAGAATAATGATGGTGACAGTGCTCTTGTGGTGAATGAAGACCAGGCTGCTGTAGAGGAAGATAATAGGGTGTATAGTAGTGAGGGAGAGGAAATGGAGGATGATTGTCTTGCTGTAGAACACACACAGAATATCTCATCAGCACCTTCTGCATCTGGCACAAAGAGTTCATTAGGATTGATGAAAACATCAACTTCTGGGGCTAAATCCAGCCACTCAGTAATAAGCACTTCCTATCAGTCAAGATCTTCATCCAGACAAGATGATAGTCCATCTCCATTGCCTGTGTCGACTGTTTCCAGAAAAGATCATAAGTCACTTGACTATCCATCATCAGGACATGGATCTAGAAATAAATCTAGTTCACAGTCACATTCATCAGCTCGTGATCGGCGGCTGTTATATTCCTCCTGCCATACTGATAGCTCTGATTCCAGTTTTGATGATACAGCCTCTAGCGGGCCCTCGTTAAGTAGAGAGGCTGTCAGTGATTCATTCTGTAGAATAGCAAGGCTGTCTGACGTAGATACATCAGCTGTTCCCAGCACAAGTGGGTCAGCTGCTCCCGGCTCCTGGTCCTTACAGCGGAGTCTTGAAGGATGTTCATCTCAAGGAAGGAAGAGTCATGTGGAAGCAGAAAGACCTGGACTGTTCAGTGAAAACAATGGGGCTTTTATATTTTTGGAGCAAGATTCTGGAGACATGTCTACAAGAGAGCAATATGAAGAAGGTGTGTTCTCTCAGGAATCTGTCAGCGTGACCCCTTCTTCTCCTGGGAAAGAGAATTTTGGCAGTTCTGGTTTGAAGAGTAAACTGAAGGTGACTAAAGGTGCAGATGTTCCGAGCACACATTCTGGAGGTAGGGCTGGCAGTCTTGTTAGATCCCATCCCAGGCAAACAAGACTGGAGGATTTGGAGGCAAGTGCAAGCCGGCCACGCAGCAGTGAAGTTTCCCAGCCACAAGAGAAGATGCCTTCTCCCAACTCACGAGGTAAGTTATTTTTTCTTTGGTTTCAGATCTAGATATTGTATCAGCTGCAGGGTTTAGAACACGTGTTGATATCTTATGTTTTATATCGTGGATTTGATATCACAGGTTTCATTTTTTGTCGAGTTATTCTTAGTGTGACTTCATATCAGAGCAGTCAAGCCATTTGCCTTGTGGTTGGAAGGTCATTAGTTTGTTTTGTTGGCACGGTTCAGGTCACAAGTGCAATGTTTTTTTTTTTTTTCTTTCTTGTTTTTGTTAGATCTCTTGCTTTTTGCTGTTTTCTCCTTTTACCTGCTTCTGAATATAAGAGATAGATGTAAATATTGTATCGTTTATAGATTTTCTCTCAGTATTTTACCCAAGCAGTAAATACTTTAATACAGTTTATCATGAGGTTGATCACATCAGGCACTAAGGGACACCATAGACAATCTCTTATATATATTAAACTTTCCTCAAGTTAGACGTTATATACATTCTCTATAACAGACCTTGGTTTTTGTTTGTTTTAATTTAAAAAATAATCTTTTTATAACAAATCTAAAGGTAAGTCTGGTAGAGGCAAAGGCAAACAATATGCTAAGCCACTCTGTCACCAGTGTCGTATGGCAGTTTTGTCGCGCGCCTTTACTTATGGATTATTTTCTCAAATCCCTCAGGTGCTCTGAGACAGGGGTGTTTTGAATGGTGGCTCTCGTTCGTCTAGAGGCCTAACACTCGGTTCAAACTTCCATTCAACCTGTCTCAGGAATGAGGTGACTCGAGCTCTGACTCCACAGGGTTACTATGAACTCTTGGGTACCTCTCGGCCAGACATCCCCATTACTAAATTTGCCCCCAGACTGGTAAACAACGTAACACAGTCAAATATATAGACAACAGTGAATATGACAAGACATGAATACCTTTCTGACTATGACAATTGATTCACTAACACCAAACCTTTCGAAGAACAAAGAGTCTTATGAACTAAACCCTCAATGTATTCAATACTCTATAACAAGAAAGATTAAAAGTAACCTGAAGAACTAGACTGATTGTTCAAGTCTTTGAAGAATAGAGTCTAGAGAAAAAGTCTTTCTATATAGCTACATCCATTTCCAGTTTCATCACGGCCTCGGAGAGCGGATACGGACTATGAAGGCACATCGGGACTTAGGCTGCTAATGTTGTGCTACTTCGACTTATCTGGTTGGATCCTGCAGCTCCTCAGGGTGCCGGAAGGTGGAATTCTGCAACGTCTAGCTTCTCAGAATGTCTCCGCACGATTGAGATTACCCCTGGGATTGATTAAATGACAATCAATTTCCCAGAGACTGGTGGATGTAGACTTCACAGACAGTCAAACATATCAAACTTTGGCAGATCATCTCAGGTCGGTTGCCTCCCCGGTGTTCGTTGGTGGAAGAGCACGACTACGCCACGGATGCTTGTTGGATCTTCCAAAATCCTGAAATTAACAATGCAACACACATGAGCGAACCATACCCAATGTACCCTGTTAATCACTCTCCTCACGCTCTCCACATGCTCAGACGTAAATGAGGCTAGTCCAAACCATGAAGGTTGACTTCCTATATCTTGGAACCTGTGCAGTTTCCCAGAGTGAGCACTAGAGTCATACGTACGTTTCTATTAACTCGAACAGTTTCTGAATTCAGTCCTGTAGCGAAAGCCAGACAGATCTCTATCATTCCCCATCCCTCTAAATATACCCTTTTCACTAGTTGGAAAGATAAGGTATAGGAGATGAAGACAAACCCAAGATAGAAGGAAATATGCTCCGAAAGCATTCCTAGGGCCTAAGCTTGTTGTAGTTACAGTAGCTCCTAGCAACAGCGAATATGACGTCATGCCTGACCCGAAGCTTCTTGTCCTTTCCAACGGTCCATCGACTCAACAAGTTCAGAGACCGAATAAAAGATAACAACTGATCATACAAAGTTAACAATACTATAAATACACTCCAGATAGGTGGATTGATTGATCCGAAGAGGTTTAGAAAGCCGGCTCAAAGAATTCACAGAGAAATTTCAGCCGAAAGTGCATTCCAACCAGGATGGCTATCTGTCGTCTTTCATCGCAGGCGATCGTAGACAAACAGATTCGCATTATCAATCTGCTGACCTTTCTTGCACACACACACAGGCACTGAGCACAAATATTCAATTAAATCCTTTTAGGATTCAAATTAATGTGTATCCAGTCTGTTATTGTCACAGACAAAGGCAATACTTTGGAACAAGACTGTCCCCACCCTGCGCTTGATTTCAGATGGCTTTGTAAAATTCACTGTTTTAAATGTTCCATCAGGCAAGCTCTGAATGCATGGTTTTAGACTTGTTTAGTACAGAATGAGTTAGAGAAGGTCATTTTTCTCAAATTTTTGTTTGTGTAAACTTAGATATCCCCAAGACCCTTCAGGGGTTTCATGGTTGTTTGCAATAGACTGCATTGGCTTCCCATCATGTCAGACTTGAATACATGCTTTTGGAAATGCTGCATAATTTTAAAGAAGTTAACTCTTTCATTATCAGGGAACGCATCATTCATTGATTTATAACTAATTTGACTGTCCTATGGTAGTGAAAGAGTTAAACAGGTCATAGGCATCTAACTTAGAAAATTACTTTACCGAATGTTCTGTATTTGTTGCTTCATTTGATTAGATGATTTAGGCATATTAGTCATTTGTTTCACACCGTCTGGTTTGATTGTTCCCAAGTTTAGAATTGAAAGTCTAATAAAATGTCTTCTGCGGGGCTGGTAATTTGTGTGTGGCTCTCTGCATTGCCCAGACTTTCTTTGCTTTGTTAATGCTTAAATTCAAGGTGGAGAAGAGAAAACAGACTAGTCTACATGTGGTCTAAAGTCTTCATTAACAAAGATAATAGACACTTATACATCATCAGTTGTTTAATGGTTTCGCTTCAAGAGGCTGATAATTAGGCTTGACTTTCCGTTAGAAATCCCCATGACACATGTGTACTAGCTTTGCTGCTTTGGCCAACCCCCGACATGCACCGAGTTAAAGGCGTTGTTTTTGTTTTCACCGTCGCAGCGTTTTATTGGGTGGCATAAGATTTAACACAACTAGCCTTTGAGGGAAAATGGCTTTTTTTAAAAGTCATTATGATGTTATAAACTTTCATTTAGTTATTGTCTTATTATGATTCACTACAAATATTTTAGAACGAAGGGATACACTCCATTTAATTCTATACTTCATTCATGTTGATTACTTCCCTTTGTAGATTCCGAAGCAATATTTTAATTTTAAATAACTAAATGTTTACTAGGAACACATCATTTGTTGCTCTATTTAATTAGATGATTGAGCTACCAATGTAATTTTGTGTGGGGGGGGGGGGGGTATTTTTCCTTCTATGAATTCCTGGATTCTACCCCCTCCTTCCTTTCCCACAAGGGTTTTGGGAATGATAGAACATAGGCCTCCAAACAACTCACACCAAGTTTTCCTATCCTTTGCTGTCACGTCCAGCTCACACTGTGTCCTCCCCCTCCTTTTAACTTCCTTTTTCCTAATTCCTTTCTCTGTGTGTGTTGTTGTCTACTGTTATTCCTTGACTCTGTGTGTTTCAGTGCAAAGATATTCTAGTTGTATTGTTTAACTTACCAGGATGCTTTGAATGAGTATGACTGCTTTTTATGCTGTTTGTATTTTCAGCAATGCTAAACACTCTAACTTGAGTTTATCATGATCTTATGTCTGTTTATATGTTTTTAAAAAAAAAAGGATAGCCCCTTAGGAAATACCATCAGTAAAGTGTTTATAGTGAAACTTCTCTGGGATCACCTGGACAGTGCAACAGAAAAAAGTGTTCATGTCTAAAGAGACTTGATTTTACTGGGACTTAGCAGAGGGTCTGAATGATTGTCAACATGCAGGGGAAAGGACAGGCCAACTTTTAATCATTTTGCAGATGGTGCAGTCAGTATGAGAACTCTTGCTGGCTACTGAGCAGTGAGGTGGAGCTCATGTGGGAATGTCCTAGTTGCAGCAGTTTCAATTCTTAATTCTCTTGTCATTTTGAAGTATTGTAAAATTATGGTTTTTCAGATAGGTATAGAAGTGTATAATTTAATGACATACATGTTTCTTTTTAAATTTCTTCAGATTCTGAACTGAATGAAAGGATTGTCACTTTAACCTGTGATGAATTGGAGGATTTTGTTGAACAGGTAACCTTATGTGGTTGGAAACTTAAGTTAAAACACTGTTGTTGGTGAAGCCAAGTTTTTGTTCTGTGTCTTTGATGTGTGATTTTATTTTCTAAATTGTGCTGTTTTGTGTGTGAGAAATATTACCATAACTGTATTGATTGATTTTTATCCTTGTTGCCTAAATCTGCATTGTGTGGCATGTGGAGTGTTGTTTTGTATGCATATCTGCAGGACTCTATAAATAGCCTGTTAGGCTAAGGCATTGCGAGTCCGACTCGTAAGCCAGCATACCGCGATCGAAACCCACTGCAGGCTGTGTGGTTTTTTATCGTGGTATGGGACGTCGCAGGTCGACCCAGCCTAAAATGGGTACCAGGATGGGCTGTCCTGGGAAAGTAAAGACAGCCGGCGTAATGCTGACCACATTACCCACAGAGTGCTGATGGTCTGTAAAAATATGGGACGCTCTGCTCATATGCCCGATGCGCCGAAAGGCGTGAAAAGGGATCTTTACTTTTTTTTTTTCTTACCCACCCATGCTGGACTACAGGTTAATCTGCTCCAGTTTTGTGTTTCCCTATTATAACTGTATTATGCGGTTGAATAAGGTTAAATGTGATTCTCATCCTTGATATGTTAATTCTACAGACTGCAATCCTGGAAAGGTAAATTTTTTAAAAAATCCTTTTCTTCTGCAGAATTGTAACTTTCTGATTTGTTTTAATGTCCCTCTTAAGATGATTAACCTGCTCGGTTTCTCAGATGCATCTGTACTTCTGTGTTACGACCGGGTTGGGAAAAGATATCAGTGATCACAGCTCTGCAGTGCAGTTATTGAAATCTTGATGAAGTTTCTTTTATTATTTGTTCCTCTGCTGTTTGTTTTCCACATACATCTTTTTTGTGCATGTTCCTCTGCCTGTATTGTCTAGTATTTGTCCATAAAAGGCTAATTTATCTATTCCACCTCTTCTGTTGGTATGCTTCATAAATGTCACATATTTCTACTGCAGTTTTGCTTCTTCCTTTTATTAAAATTTTTTAATTATTTTTAAGTGGAAATGAAAGAACCTATTGGCTGGGTGACTGATGGTATCATAAATCCAGTCTGCACTAGTGAGAAATATTATTGCAAATGGTGGAGCAAAAACATGCATAACCAGCTGGCCACTAAAACTTAAAGTATCCACACTTTGCATCTTCCGAGGGAGGCAGGGCACGTCCCAGGTGTTAAAATTGCAACGATCAACTTCATTACACTGGTTTATCCCATATAGCTTGGTCTGTCTCTACAGAGCGGCTTGCTGAATGCCAAGCATCTCACACATTATAGCTCCAGCATGATCCCCAAGGATCTCTGTGAAAACGGCACATATGAACGGAATGACACCTCTGTTAAGTGAACCCATGAGATAAACAGTTTGATCAGTTTGTTTGTGTTGTGGGTGATAATTTCTTACCAAAAACGGTGCTGAAGTAAATTTCAAAAGACAAGCACCATCTGTGAAACATTGGACACTTTATAACCAGTTATTTTCATGAGGATTGTGAGTGCCCATTGTGGGAAGAGAAGCATAGACCTCTTCATAAGAATGCCATAAGAGGTGACTAATTAAAAGTCAGGGCGCATGTATCTGATATGTGAGGTACCAGCAGCCTGTCTTCATGTAAGCCAGATCTGTAAAACAGATGTGCTTGCAAAACTCAAGTTTTGGAATTAGACCAAAGTACAGAAGTAGATGAACAAAAAAACAATTTTTATTCTGTATTTTATAGTCGGTGGACGAGAAAAAGAAAAAAGAAGAAAGAAATTGGTCAGTGGGTAGCTCGGTTTTGATGATCATATTTATATTTGCAGGGAGAAGAACATTACAGTCGAAAAGGACATTGGTTTTATTTCAAATGGTAAGTCATTTCCTTTATTGTAAATCTAAGTAGTGTACAGATTTATCAATATTTTCCCATAATACAAACAGGGATAGTGGGGCCAGTACTGTATTCTTGAACATTTCTTAGGTGAGTCATTAAACTGTTCACCTGTAAATATTGCCTTCCAAATGTATGACAGATCTCGCAACTAAACTTATGTATTGTAAAAGTAATGACATATGCAGTGACTAACTTGCAGATAAGAAATAGTTGTAATGACTAAATAAGTATGAAATTTCTAGTGATTAAACTGATTTCTTTTAAGAATACAGGTTGTAGTAACTAATCATTCTTTGTTTTTAAAAAAAATGAGCTGCTGTAACAGCTATCACGACTAAACAGTTTCCTTGTAAAAATATGACTGATCTCTAGTGAGTATAACAAATGTAGCAATATATTCCTTATAAATGTGAAATGGTAGGACTAAAGTTTTACTAGGCTACAGTCTCAATCATGCATCCTTGCATGATTGTTTCACATTATAGTTTGATGGTCTTCTTAGATTGTAGGGAAACCATAGTTAGACAGATCTGCTGGTTGAAGTTTGAGAACATGCATAGTTTTGCGTCTTGCACAAACTAAACATTTTGTTATTTTTCTAAAAGAGAATCATAGTTTGACAGTTGTATTGGTCGAATCTGTTGTGTCTAGTGGAAAAAAAAGTGTTAAAGCTCTAAATATTGTTATATCAGAAAGGTTAAACGTAAGAGATTGATTTTATTGCACTGGGTCTTATCCAACATGGCTCTGTCCACAGAACAGCCAGCCACTTTGCAAAAAACATTGCACAAAGCGCAAATTTCGTAGCTTTGGCAACTATCCCCATGTTTCTCCATAAAAATTGCACTTACGGATTATAAGATGCAGCTTTGAATGAACCCACGACCTTGAGAGCATGAGGCACATCTTGACCCCTTAGCCGTGGAGACCCCCCAAATATTTTAGCAAGTTACATATAGCTATGAGGTTATATCAAAAGATAATCTTAATATGACAGATGTAGTAAATAAAGTGTGTAATCATTGTGGCGATTGGTTGTCTGTATGCTGAACCATGGGATATTAGAAGGTGATTGGTAGACTTACTAAAGCAGGAGCTGTAAAGAGGCTGGCACATTTCACTACTTTATCTTGTCTTACTTAGCTGTTTCCTCCCTGCGTGGGTATTGGGCTGCACTTTGGAGAACAAAGAATAGAGCTACTGCCACCCTAACAGGCATGTTGTTGCAGACAACTAATTAGGGGTGTTTTTTTTCCAAATCTGAGTTCATCTGTCTGAAAAGGGAGGAACTAACAGTTTGCATACAAATAAGCCAGACCTGTAAAACAAATGTGCATGCAAAACTGGATCAGGGCCAATGGAGTTGATGAACAACCAGAAGAAGTTGTTTTCCCACTATAAATGGTGACTTCTCTACATATGTTGTTTACGTAAATCTTTTTCTCTACAGCTGATCTTCTGCAAGCGGTAAACCTTAGCAAGGCCGAGGTGGTCAAGCGAGCTGTCAAACAGATCAGGTCAAATGAACATAAACTGGACCTTGAGCAGGCAGACAACACTGGTACCACATTGCTAATGAGGGCTGTCCAAAGAGGTAATTCAAGTGTCTGTTCTCCCAGCTTGTCTAAATTCCTTCTGTAACAAGTCATACATCAGATACTTTTATCTTTGACAGTAGCTGCCTTGAAAATTGAATGAGATGGAATTAAAATAAACAGTTACTGATGGATAAAAGCAAGTCAGGAAAGAGCAGATGAATGGCTGACGAATCACTAGGGTAAAGTGTTAACTCTGTAGAATTCAAAGAATGAAAAAAAAAAACTGTTCTAGCAAAAGACAAGGACAATTCTCGTATAAAGCATATTTACCCCCACAGTATTATTCAGAGCCAGGACATAGTCAGTCTCAACAATCAGTGTACCCGTGGAATGAGATGTCTGAAGAAAGCTGAGGGGGCGACCAACATAGATAAACTCAAGCATGAAGCCACAGGAGAAAGTGTCAGCATAGAAATGATGCTGAATAACGTACAGACAGCAAATAAAATAGTTTGCACACTCAGAGAGTGTGCCTTGTGGTGCCACACCATACAAGGTTTATATGAAAAGAAAAGATGGGCGTAAAGCCAGAGGTGCACCAAGGATAACGTGGAAAGATTGTTGGCACCTTTCCAGATGATAGTGTTCTGTAGTACAATAGGAAAGCATCAGATTCACAGTTACGGCAAAGAGAGAAATTCCTCTTTTTCCATGGCTCAGAAGCACAAAGCCTTGACAGTTTTATAGAGATTGTTTGTTACCCATGCAGCATGATTCCTCTCTTGACCTGCTTTGTTAACTCCAGAGGAAAGGTAACATCAGTCTGTTTAGAACAAAGCATGCTGCAGAAACTGCTGGACCAGAAGAGAGGGCTTTGTCCACCTGTCCCAGCTTCCCTCCTAGACTAGATGCCAGCCAAGGTTGAGGTCTGGTCACAATAACAAGTATTTAGATTGCATTTCTTTGTCCAGGGATAAGGCTAGTATCCACCCCACTGTGCTATTTCACCTGAAGATGTATTTATGAGTGTTTATATATATGTATATAGCACCAGCTTTGGTGTAATTTACGTGATGATCATATTATTTATATTTTTATATGAACATAACATACTTTACAAATAGAGTTGCTGTTTGGAAGGGCTGTAGGTAAGTCTGACCTATGTGCCCAGTTTGTTACCCTTCATTCTAAGATAGCATGGAAGATAGGTTGCATCAGAAAAACTGCATGTCTATGGTCGAAACAGCCAGAAGATAGAGAACCAGAACCTATACAGGGGACATATATTTTATTGTGATTTTCTTACTAGGAGCGCATATTTTACTGGAGTATGTTGTGTTGTGGTTTACAGCAAGGCTGAGTAATATTCACCTTCAACTCAGCACATTCAATTTTAGCACACCTCATTTAATAATTTTTGTACTCCATGCTTGCTTACGAGCAGTGTGTCTATTTTTCCTTCCCATAATAGGACCCTTTAACCTAGAATTATTTTATAATTGTATGTTTTTAATTCTAGGTGCACTAGCCATAGTGGAAATGCTATTGGAAAATGGGGCAAATGTTAATGCGCAGCAGACTAATGGCACAACTGCCCTGATGATAGCTGCAGACACGGTAAATATGGCCAGATTGTTTGTCTTAGACCCTGGTATAAGCTGTCTGTCTTCTTCTTCTGCATTCGCCTTTAGAAGGGTAGTTGGCACTTTGCATTATAGTTCACAGCTAGGCTGCCTTATATCTGCCTGTAGACCCAGCACATCTAACTTCAACACACACACACACACACACTTCCTAACCCCCCAGTTAGTCAGCTTTAACGACATGTTTGTTAAGGGGGTAGTCAGTCTGTTCCTCACACAACCGCCACCCACACAGGGAGCTGCCTGTCTAAATAATAACTACAGCTTATGTTTAAAACCTAATGCTAAATAAAATGTATGGGGTTCTAAAACATCCAGCTCTATGGCTGGTGAATAAGGGAACATTTCACAATCATTAACATATAAGGGTTCATAAAGACTTCAGTGGTTCTTCTACTGTGGTGCATGAGTTGCACCTTGGAAGAGATGGAGGCTTCATCATGTATTTTATCAAAGATGGCAGTGGTACACAGTAGCTAGCCTTGGCTGTGGAGATTGCACACAGTTTTAATTAAGTTTACAACACTCTGTTCCATAACTGGATGACACATATCATTTCATGTACTCTAATGGCTGTCCCATATCTTGGGCTTTTGAGTGTGTCCCATGCCAAATTGCTATCCTGTATATTGTGCTGTCTGGTCCATGCTAAACTGTGTTCCATATATTGTGCTAAACTGACTTTAGTATCTAGGGCTGAACTAGCTCTCCCATGTGTAGTATTAACATTTATCAGGGTTTCCTGGATTTGTCATGTAATAATTAACTGTCATAACATCCTCTGTTTGTCTTGGTACTATTAATATTACAGAAATCAGTAATTTGTCTCTTTGGACATTTTTGTGTCTTGTTGCCTTGAGCAGAGAGGAAAAAAAATATGTAAATTGTGCAACTGAAAACTTAATGTTATGACAGGGCAGACAAGGCCTTTAGCCTTTATTGGTAGTTGGTCTAAGAGGAAAGCTGTGACAAGCGGAGAGACCGACAATTTCTGCAGCATGCTATACTCCAAACATTAAGTGTTACCTAACAAACAAAAACAGGCCAAGAGAGCAGTCATGCTGCATGGACAACACATGATCTTAATTCTAAGATAGCATGGAAGAAGGTGGTGAGGTAGCATCAGAGAAACTGCATGTCTGTGGTGTTATATCTTAGAATTAAGGGTAACAAACTGGGCCCATTGGTCATACTTATTTTCAGCCCTTCCAAACAGCAACTTTATCTGTAAAGTATGGTATGTTCATATAAAAATATAAATAATATGAACATCACGTAAATTACACAAAAGCTTGTCTCTATGCCATGTCCTGCAATTCTGTTGCACAGTGCAACAATAGGATCTATAAATACAGAAAGGTGCCAAAAAAACAATATCAATTACTTGTCTATCTCTAAATTGTTTTGCTTTCATTGCCTATCAGCGTCATTAACTGTCTAGATTCTAAAATATGTCATTAGTGTGTAGATATGTCATTGACATTGTTCTGTTTCTTTCAGAATGGAACCTGTCTTGTGGCCCTACTTCTGAAATATGGTGCCAACAGCAGCCTGTACACAGTCAACTCCGACCAAGCTGAGACAGCTCTCATGAAAGTAGGTCATGAGTTTTTACACTCTTACCATAGTTTTTAAAACTGGTGTGAATGACGGTAACTAAACTTATTTCTGCACATCTTCTTCTTAGTGCTTACCAGCTGTTAACTCCGGCAGAAAGTTCTAATTGTTTGTCCACTTCTGGACTTTGGTTTTGGGTACACAACCATTTTAAAGATCCAGCTCATTTGTATGCAGACTTTTGGTTTCTTGCCTCCCAGGCAAATGCGCTCTCACTTTGAAGGAAAAAACCCTAATTAGTCGCCTTTTACAACATGCTTGTTCAGGGGTAGTAGGTCCATTCTGTTATCCCACAAAATGGGCCCTGGAACCCCCACAGGGATTTGTATGCAAATGTTAGCATGTGCGTAGGATCTGCTGAAGATGGTATGTAGACACTGATGCTAATGACAGTGTATTAGTAGTAGTGGTCGATGTTTCAGCTTCACTGTAAACCCGTCACCCCATAGTTCCTCCGTTCCTGTGCCAGTGAAAATGGCCCCAAAAGTCTTTTATTATCCCATTACTTCTTTTCGTTCGTCCGAGTGATGTAAATGTGTCGTGCCTGTTAATATCAGAGCTGCGATATTTGCGTCTTTCGGCCGACACATCCAACTTTATTGAGCATTTTTTTTACCAGGTTCACTTCCCGGATAGTTTTATGGGAAAGGGACATGGTGTGGCCTTATTTGTGGTGTTTTCTTTGTACCCTTATCTACAGGTGTTGCCCCTGGAGACCCTGTTCAGAGCATCCATGTATAGACGGGTCTGCCCTCAGGGGAAAGCATGGGGCAGAACATGTCAGTCCCCGCCATCCAATAAGGCTTCCATAAAGGCAGAGCCGACTCGTGAAGCTTTGGACTTAGGCCCACTCTAGGAATTGTGTCCTGCATTTTACTGCTTAATCTCACATCCGTATGTTGGGCTTTCCAATCATCACGGGAGGGGCCCTACGAAAATCAGCAAGGAGCAGCCCTCAGGTGCAGGATTTCGACAGCCACATAAAAATGCGCATTTTTTTTTGGGCACGGTTTGACACCTCAAACTTTTTAAAAAATTTAAGAACTTGGCAAGGAAGAACGGCAAAAGCACGTACCCGCCGGCATTGCTCCTCTTTTTGGGTCCCACGCTCTAGTGAGTGGGGCCAGTGATTATCCCATTTTAAAACCAATGAACAAAACAATTAGTCCCAGCAAAATCTAGAAATGTGCCTACACAGTAAATGCAAAAGACAGCTACTACAGATGCCAACACCAGCGGTCGCCACCAGTATTGCAGTTTGTCAATAAAAGTAAGAAGCCAGTCTCGATTAATCTGGCCATAAACAGGTAAAATTATTGCATAATGCATTTTGTCACCCCTAAAGCTGCCGGCTACCTGCCATTTTCTGAATGTCACAGCACAGCCACTGTGGGGACAAATGAAAGGCATTCAGTATGAAATACACAACTCACAGTTCTGCACCAAGCACTAAACTCAGTAGCGCAGGCAGCGAAACCGTAGACTCCCAGTCTGTGTATGGAAACTGCATTGGCTAGCCGTTGCTAGAAGCTACAACAACAAACAAAAAAACACTTTCAAAGCTAAACGGACAGTGTTGCCTCTCCACCCTATTACGCCTGAACCTGTTTTTCCCTTATGGAGTCTGGGCCATATTTTGGGGGACAGAAGAATAGACCCACTGCTTCCCTAACAAACCTGTTGTACAAGGCAACTAATGAGGGAAGTTTCCTTCAAAGTCGGAGTGCATCTGCAGGCAGAACTCAACTCCTTGAACAAGACCAAAGTCCAGAAGTGGACGAGGGACTAGGAGTTTTAGCCAGAGTTTACAGCCAGTGAACACAAAGAAGAAGATGTAGAAGACCCCGTGTAAACTGATTAATGATGAAATTAGAACAAGCTGTTATAGGACCACAAGAATACTAGATAGATGCTTTGCAGGTCACATTCACTGAAGATGGCATGTGGTCTAATTCTGTCCACTGTCTTGAGCTACCCTTCCTTACTTGCGACAGTAACATCTTTAAATGGCATAGTTTAACTTTTGTGCTCGATTGTTCTTCATTTTACAGGCAATAAAGAAGCAGAATCGAGAAGTGGTGAACCTCATGCTACGAGTGGGTGTCAACATTGCTCCCCCAACATGTGCGAGCTTCTCAGCACTGGAGCTGGCAGTTGAAAGGAGGAATCCTCATATAGAAGGCACAGTACGGTTCCATTGTCAGAGGTAAGTTCTTATTTTTGGTTCCAGCACCATGGAAAGAAAATGTCCCCTTTTCTCTGCAGACTTCGGAGAGGGTCTTATAAGATTCCACAGATTTTATTAATCATAGATAATCCTGTGCATAGTAACAACCCTGAAAGACAACTGAATTATAATTTTATTAAAAATAGATTGCTTTAAATGAGCATTGCTATAAGAAAGCATTGCTTAGTAAAGGAACTTTGCGCGTAGAAAACCCTCAGCAGCAAACAACACAGACGAGCAATACATAATTCACTGAGCTGTCACATCATTTCCTTAATACTCTAGAACATTTGTTTCACATTTTGGTTACTTTATTGTGATTCTTTTTCTAATCTTTATGTGTTCAGTATATCACTTTCTTATTTTTATTATAAATGCAACAAATCACTTAGCTAGTCAATATCTACATAAATTTTATATTAATTTTATCTATCATTTCATTAACTTTTTTTGCTTTTCCCCCTGCTTCCTTTAGGTTGGTAGAAAATAAAATTACAATAGCCGCAATGTTCACGTTTTGTTTGTTTTTGTTATATTGTTAAGCTTGCTAATATTATTTTCGTTTGGTTCTATATCTTTCCTTTAGGTTAGAGCAGGCTTTCCGCAGCCGCATCCTGGCAACATTGGACGGGACAGCTAATTTGTTAGAGCCTTTGTTTTGTATGCAGTGTTTTCCTCTTAGGGAATCTGTTCAGTTTGTGGTCAAGTTCAATGGCAACATACACTCTGTAGCATCAGGTAGGTGTTTGAGTCTCAGTATTAATAAATGTATTTGGGATTTATGAATGACATGCTCCTGGTTGGCTGGTTCTCTGTACCACTCCATGACACACTAGAACAAAAGGTGAACCTTAAGCTGAAAGCACTTAGCTCATCAGTCTCTGTGTGAGTTATCATTGTGCACCACTTGGTGGTAGACTGATACATGACAAGCTTGATGTGGTCCAAGTCCTCTGGGAGTAAGTGAACAGTATGGAAGCACAAGTAGATCATTACGGTCTGGTTTTCCCCGTGTCGCTTCGCGTCCCCATTGTGAGGAAAGCAAGAATAGACACTCAGCCTCTTCAACAAGTATGTTGTAGGAGTTGACTAACTGGGGGCTTCCTTCAAAGGCAGAGTGCATCTGCCTGAGAGGCAAGGTACCAACAGTCAGATGTGTAAAACGGATGTGCACGCAACACTCAGGTTCTGGAACAAGACTTGAGTCCAGAGGTCGAGGAACAACCAAAACTTTCCACCGGAATTTAAAGCTGGTGAACGCGAAGAAGAAGAAGATGATGATTAGGGTCTGGAAAGATTGGTGCAGTGGGAAGTTACCAAGGGATCTGGCCGATGCTTAACACTCAGAGGAAAGGGCGAGCTGGACATACAGTCAGACTTCTGCTGGTATCTTCAGAATTGTAGCTCCCCCCTAGTTGCTGAAGATCAAGGTCGGTTACTAGAGGTTGATTCTCAACTCAGCTCAGCCCATGCTGTTTGTGAAGGAAAAATCAACCAGTAACAGACAGTAGAACCATTTAGCTTCCTAAAACAATACAGTCACAAGTGACACAATGAATGTTACGGCTAAAGAGCTTTCATCAGCAAACAACATGGAGAGTAATTAAAATACATAAAAACTACATAAAATAATGACTTAGTTATGTAAAGATTGAAGTCCGCCTCTGCGGAACAGTATCCATCCAGGTATAACTGGTCAGTACACTGTCACAAATACGCAAATAAGGCAAGAATCCAGGCAAAAGTATGTGTCTAATTTTATACGAAAACGTCGCTGGAACTGTCGGCCACGCCCTTAGAATGGATAAATCAAGACTTCCTTACCAAGCCCTCATTTGGACACCACAGGGGAAAAGATCTCGTGGAAGACCAAAGGAAACCCTACGTAGAACTATCATCAAGGAAGGCTCGCTCATGGGCCACTCAAACATCCAAGACCTACAACAGATTACAACGAACCGCCATGCATGGAGAGTCATGACCTCTGCCCTATGTGCCGCACTCGACACAAGAGGAAAGACTAACTAACTAACACTGTCACCATAGACAGGACGTGATCCAGAGCCACAGGAGAGGTGAGCGGTCAAGACTTACCTAAGGAGAAAAAAGTTGGGGAAGAAAATATATTTTGAAGGAAATTGTGTTGAAAATTGAAGTAGCAATCTGGTTTTCCAGCTTGAATGGATATTTTGACCAGGTGTTGGTGTAGAAAACATGGAGTGTCCCTGCAGTGTGGCACCCAAAAAATTATGAGCATGTGCTCCAACACTGTCAACAGATACGCAATCTGTCCTGTTCCAACCACAATAAAGACAAAGCTGTATGGTACACCAGAAGATATCAACTGCACAAAAGCTTTCATAAAGGCTACCTGCCTCCTGATGTAAGTTTTCTGACAGAAGGATAGAAGAAGATGACCAGGAATGAACTTTGAATGACAGTAAAGTCATTGTTTATAGTTGTGTTACTGTTTGCCCATAAAGGCTCTCTAGCTGCAATATTTATTTTGTTGTACCTCACTTTGTCAGGTATAACAGAAGTCATTCTCATACATACATACATACATACATACATACATACATACATACATACATACATACATACATACATACATACATACATACATACATACATACATACATACATACATACATACATACATACATACATACATACATACATACATACATACATACATACATACATATAGCTACATACTACAGAGTAATAACTTGCTTATATTTGTCTTTTC